GTGATCACACAGGCTGCTGTGCTTCTTCCATGTGGGCTTTTTTGCTAGATGGCCGCTTGTTTACCTTCAAGCTTTTAAGACCCCAGAGGCTGTATATTTTGATAGCCGGGCACCATCAGCTTTCTTCACCACATTTGCTTATGCACCCATTTGTCTTCAGCGATTGTGTCGGGAAGGTGAGCATCCTGGAATGCCAGTTTAATAGAACAACGTATTCTTGCATTGAGGGAGTACTTGAGTGGAGGTCCAATGTCCATCTGCTAGCTTAATAATAAATCTATAAATATATGCACATAGTTATATTTCCCCATACTCATATATAAATATGCTTACGTATGTACATGCCTGTACTTAGACCTCTATAAAATGCCCTTTGCCTCCTAGTTCTTTCCTCTATTTTCTTTGACTTTCCTCTTGTCCCGCTATCATGCTCTGTCTTCATTTGGGTTACAGTAATTCCTCTTGATTACATTACCCTTGGTCACACCCTACCAGGCCTTCTACACTCTCCTCAACACCGATTTGGATCACTTGTTGTTCCCTGGGTTTCTTACCGCCACCTCCTTTCCCCTCACCTCCCCCTCTCCCATGTCCCCCCGGAACTGTTGGTCCCGTTGTTTTCTCCTCCAGATTGTTCATCCAGCCTATCTTATTTAGACAGACCTGGGGAGATTATAACATGCACGGAAACAAGACAGAGCAAAACCAAGCAACAAAGTAAAACAAAACAACAATAAGCCAATGACAAAAACAAAACAAAACAACAACAAGAAAGAAAAGCTTGTAGTTAGGTCAAAGACTGCTTGTTGGCCTTTAGGCGTGTTTTCCAGTTGAGTCTGTTGGGTGCCAAGCCCTGGCCCCAAAGTCCGCTTTTGGTATTCCCTGGGGACTTCATTGTTCTGTTCCCCTTGCTGTTCTGTTGAATGCCTTAGTGTTTTGCCTCGGTGTATTGGGATCAGATCGGGCGGAATTCCCACACTGTGTCTCCAGTGTTGCCCCTGTAGGGCTATGGATCAGTGAGCGATGTCATGTCTCATAGTGGGGTCAGCCGTATGGTCTTCTCTGTGGATTTGCTGCTCTGAGCAGGAAGATCATCCTCAAGGGTTGGTGGGCCAGGATGTGCTCAACTCTCTCTTCCTCCCCCTACATTTGCTCCCTGTGCTCTGATCAGACATGGCCTTCTCCCAGAGATGAAGATTCAGTGCTGTCTTCTGAAATAAATTCTTCTGGGGGTAGCGGCAGGTGTCCACATAGTTGGGATTGGGGCCGGCCCCTAAACTTCATTTTTTCAAATACTTCATATCCAAGTGAAAGCTGAGCAATGAATAATGAAGACAGAGAGATTATACCTTTGAATGAAGGTGCGGGTGAAGAGTAATAAGGACACCGTGATTGCCAGAGGAATAAATCGAGTTATCTTGGAACAATGCTCCTTAGAACTGAGGATGGCAAGGCTTTGGCTCATTTAAGTTGGATACGCCATGAGGAGGGATCGATCCTTGGAGATGAGCACCGTGCTTGGTAAGTAACTTAGGGGGGCAGTAAAAGAGAACCTGATTCCCAGTGAGAAGGGTTGATCCTTCATTGGCTGAGCAGTGGGCTCGAAGGCAGACGCGATGTGAGGGTGGCACAGACCAGGCAGTGTCTCCCTCTGCTGTATCAAGAGTCAGGATGAGTCTCAGGGATCGGATGGCATCTCACACATCTTCCTTTTGCAGATGGACTAGTGAGTTCTAACTGCTGACTGACATTTTCAGTGAGGAGGCAAGCACCATCAGGCTCCCCCGGGGTCCGTTTGGAAGCATAGGAGAGAGTGACAAAGGACATGTGTGAGTACACTGGTCTCTGTCTTAAAGTCAGGGGAGTGTGCAGGCAAGGTTCCCACTCCCACAAACTATGTTGTTTCCCAAATGTGGAAAATCCACAAGGGTCCGTCCGTACACCTGGGGTGCAAAGATTGAGCCTGGCCCTAGGAAACGTAGCGTCAAGATTATCTGTCAGGTAAGTATGGCTTGACCGTCTGCCACCAGGTAGAGTGTCATCTCCTATCTCGCAAACTTCTCTTGGCCCCACCATTCACACCATCGCCGTCATGTGGAACGTCCAGCCAGACCACTCCCCACACAGAGAAGAAGTGGGCCTTGGCCATCAGCTGCCGTATCTTCTAATTGACAGACTTCCCAGGTCGCCTTTGTGGCCTCCATCTCCCTGGTTGTCAGTGTCTTTTGTGTGATGATGGACCGAAGACCTATCTAAGCCCTCTTCGTCGTAGTAGTGAGTGGAAAAGGGAAAACATGTGTGTCGTCTGGAAGAGTCTATGGGGATGAAAGATCACGGCAGTGGTAGGGGTGACGGTCCTTGCTGTGATACTATTGTTTTGATAGTCCGTGTTTCTTTCTATGCCTACTCTGTGCCTCGGGCACGGTCAACACTTTTCCAATTGTGTACATTTTGCATGTTGCCGTCGTTAGGTCCCTGAACACCACCTTCCAGAACCACCTCACCTGTATACAGGACTCTGTGACCTCGTTCACCCGTCACTCCCCTCCCACCACCCTATTTAGTCTGTAGCCACCTCTTCCTAAAGTCTAGTAAACATTTTTCCAGAAAAAGCACTGCCGATGGCTGAGCTGATGCATCGATATTTACAAACATACGACAAAACAACATGGGCGGCTTGCCTTCTGACTCAGCTGTTAAGGGCTCATCAGGATCTGAACCCCTGGAACAAAGGCCACAAACAGCGCTAGCCAGAGTTTGGGTGTGTGGTGCATGTTCGGGTTCTGTCCTTTTGCACACTTATTCAAGCTGAGTGCTGAGCCAACATTCGGAGAAGCTGGACTACATGAGGAGAATGGAGCATCAGCATTGGTGGAAGACGCTGAACAACGTGAGATACATAGACGGTAGAACAACCTTGCTTGCTAAAAGGGAGGAGGACTTGAAACACTTGCTGGTGAACATCTAAGATTGTAGCCTTCAGAATGGAGTGCAACTCAATGTAAAGAAGACCAAATCCTCACAAGTGGACCCATAGGTAACATCCTGATAAACAGAGAGAAGGCGGTGCGTGAGCACAATGGCGTGCTCTAGAGTTCCCATCCTCAAGGTTGTCCATAGTTTGTTATGATCCACACAGTTGAATACGCCTTAGCATAGTCAATAAACACAAGCAAACATCATTCTGGGAGTCTCTGCTTTCAGCCAAGATACAGCTGGCATCAGCCATGATAGTCCCCAGGCCCAAGAACTGAGCTACTTATGTCAGAGGCTACAAGAGGCATTGGTGGCTGTTACCTGTTCACACAGCATGCGGACAATACCATCAAGTCCATGCAGGACCTCCCCAGGAACACGCACATAGCCAGCCATCAGAGCCAGAGATTCAGGGACACGCTGACCCAGGGAAGCCAGTTGGCAGAGCTCCTCATCAGCAAACCTGCCACAGGCCAGTCGGGGACAGACTCCAGGACCCTGCCAAGGTCCTCGTCTCCCAGAAGACTCCAAGGATCCACGATTCAATCAGGGACTCTCTAACTTTGTAACCCAGTGGTGTAGTGGTTACATGGTGGGCTGTACCCCAACGTCAGCAGTTTGAGACCACCAACCGCTGTTTGGGACAAAGATGAAGCTTCTGCTCCAGCACACAATTATAGTCTCAGACACCCACAGGGGCAGGGTCACCCTGTCCTATCCGCTCAAGATGAGGTGGACTTGACTCGATGGCGATGAGGGTTGAGTCCTGCTTTGGACTCCACATTCTGGGGCCAGGGCAGTCTCAGGAGGACGAAGCATGACGACAGAGTTCAAACACACCCATCCTCACAATTGGTTCCTTCACAGGTTCCGGGCCAGCATCTCACCTTTATTTGTTTTTGATCAGTGTTGTTTGATCACTAAGGTTGTGAGAATGAATGTCTGGCCTAGATTTCTAGTTCTCCTTTGTTAAATGGGTCCAATTGTGTATTCCATGATTGCTGTAGACATCAAATGATGTAAGGTTTCTGGCTGTGTTTCTATGGAGAATAAGGCCCCTCCCCCGTGGGGTATTGCTTGAAACACTCTGTGTAGGTGAACCTGCAGTGGGGAAGTTAGTTATACTGGAACATTTTGATAGAGACGATTAGTCCTGAGAGCGGGTGGAAGCACAGCAGGGGCAGGTGTGGAGGCACTCCTGTCCCCGGAGGACTTGGGAGCACAGGCTGGGTGTTCCCTCCTCAGAGACCGCAGGAGGTCGCTCATATCCACGTTCTGTTAGTGTCTGGTGAGATGGACGGCTGGACAGTCGAGAGGGCAGATGGGCAAGTATCTTGTGAATTGGGCAACTAATAGATTTTCTTTCTTTTTGTTTCTTAAACCCCACTCAAGTAGCAGGCATCAAGGTAATGATTTGCCCATCCAGTCTACTCTGCCCAGTGGACTCGGGAAGGCATGCCAGGCCACCTCTCTGAAGCTCACCCGAGAGCTCCTGGAATATCTCTTAGAGCATCCTGGCTACACATGCGGGATGTGCACATGTCTGACCAGAAAGGCCTTGCATTTTTCTTCCCAATTCCAGGTCAAATAATCGTCCATGAAGATATGGAAGACCAGAATGCTGATGCAAAGTTGAAAAGCAGCAAAGCTTCGATTTTCATGCAGATGAAAAATAAAAATAGGTAAGTATTGAAACAAGAAGGATAGTGCATGTTGATCCTTTACAAACTATATATTTGCTGTCTTCAAGTCATAAGACCCAGCTACATTCTAGTATCCAACTCTTATTACTGGGCATGCAAGGGGCACACAGAAGTGCATATCTTCAGATTTGCAAAAGTACCTCCAGGCTTTGTTTCTTACACACTGACGACTTGCTGAGCTGCTGGGGTGTGCAGGGCCTTCCTCAGTGTGCACCTACACAGTACGTTCCTGCTGGTGCTTCCCTCTGCTCCTTGGCGTAGGGAGCACAATAATGACTCCTACTTCCAAGTGCTGCTCTAATGTTTGAGAACAATTAAATGCAGGGGAGAGTGCAGATGCATCCCCTGCTGCCATAAATTATGCAGTCGAGTTCCCCACATTTGGGGAAATCGCAGGGGTCAGCACATCTGGTGTGAAATGGATAAGCCTCGCCCTGGGAAAACCACCTTTGTGATCATGGTATCTCCCCTGCCTGGTAAGCATGAGTTAATTAACTCTAGACCCTCCACGGACCCATACTACCTATACTTTCACAAATGGGCATTTCGCTCCCCTCAACTCCGAGCCCTCCTACACCCTCTTGGGTCCTAGAACACAATTCTTCATTGAAAAACTACAGACAATTTCTTACAGTACTGAAAACCACGAGGTGTTTAATCTCCATGTGCTAACCAGGCAGCCACTGCGCGCCCTCATGTACATAAAACACGCCAATTATTATCGTCCCAGTCAGAGTTCTTCCACCACTAGCAGGGGGCAGCTCAGAGAGGAGCACAAGTGAAAACCATGGCAAGAAAACACAGTCAAACAGCACCGCGAGACCCGATTCCGGAGCTCCAGCTCTGTCCTGGAAAACACGCTGCGCCTGCGCAGCCCGAGTCTTAGCGGATGGCAGCCCCCTCCTTCCAGGGGCTCAGCCATCAACTGCGACCTCTCCTGGGGACCAGGTTTTCCCCAGATACCACGTCGGATTCCTTCGGCAGTCCTGTCTTGTTGTCCTTCAAATGTGGACGTGGGTCTCTCTACACAGTCCCTGCCTCTCCTGGGATTCTGAACCCCAACAAAACCTGCCGTTGTTAAGGAACAAACGTAGGGTAAAGAAAACTCCGGGCTATTTGGAATGTAGGATGCCAACGCTTTTGTCTGCACAATGAGTTGGCATCCTGGGGGGCAGAGCGCGGTCCCTGAAGAGAGAGCAGGTTTGGCCGACGGGGCCACAGCTCCCCGTGAAGCCCACATTTCCCAAGGGGAGAAATGGCTCGAGTGGGAGTCTGTGGGACGGAACGTTGGGGACGATGCCCTTGTCCCCGTTGCAGATGAGTTTGCCACTGTCGATCCGTGATTCGCCTGCTGGGACTCGCTGGGCATAAGGCCTACGATGCAGGCAGAGGAGGCAACCGGACCTTCGGAGAGGGTAGTGCGGGGCTGCGGAGACGTCCTTGTGCTTTTCTGAAACAAAA